CGACCACCTGTTTCATGCCGGCCTCTCCTCTCCCGACTCCCTCTGGGTCAAGGCTGTGTTGTTGGGGCGAGCCAGCCCATCCATCCTGTGGCCCGGGGCGTCACCAGTGAGGGGGGATGATGAGTGCGCATGGGCGCAGAGATGGCGGCTGGACTGTCCTGCTCTCCCTGACTGCCTGCGAGACCCCAGATGGGGAGAGCCATTGGGACTTTGCACTCCCCTTTCACCTCTCACAGTCAGGGGGTCCTGGACTCATTTCCTGCCTGATATGGGGGGAGGGGGGTCACCTGCTTGCTGGCGGGGCTGATGGCCTCAGTGTTAGGACGTCAGTGACGTGTTTCTGGTTGGTGCCGGTGCTGATCCCACGGGTTGGCACACACGCTGGACCAGAACTAGAAGGCCAGCCTGGGCTTGGCCTTCATGCAGGGAGGACTCAGAACGCAGAAGCGGATGGCCACGGGCTACCTGTGCAGCCGTGCCAGCAGCCTGGCACTGGGCATGTGGCACCCTGGCAGGCATCCCCAGGGTGTCCAGAGGGGTGCCACTGCGTGCAGCGGGCGTGGCAGCCCTGACTTGGCGGGGGACTCCGGGCAGCTGGCCTGGGCTGGGCCTGGTGGGGGCAGAGGGAAGCCCTGGCCGAGGGAGGGGTGAGGTGCCTTCCGGAGCGCTGGCTGTCGAGTGGGGGTTTTCCTTGGAAACAGCAGAGCTCTCTGCAAGTTTGGGTCGGGGAGGGCTGTTTGCCTGGCAGCCACTGCCGATTGGGTAACAGGCTGGGGCCTGGCCGTGCCAGGGAGTGCGGGAGGGACCAGGTGGTGCTGGGGTGGCTGGGTGCCGCTGTGGTCGGCTGCTCGCAGCCGGGCAGACACTGTGGCCCGGCGAGCAGGTCAGGAGCCTGAAGGATAATCTCGGAGACAGAAAGAGCAAACAAACAGGAGGCTGGGAGCGCTGCCCTTCTGCGAGCCTGGTGCCTCGGGGCGCCAGGCCAAGTGTGGTGTTGAGGAAGGGGCTCCTGGCAGGCGCCTCTCCCCCTCGGCTTCCGTCCTGCAGACTGAGGACAGCGCCTCTCTGAGCGCCCCTCCGAGCCGGCCTTCAGCACCAGCCCTAGAGTCACAGGTAGGGGAGAGGAGGGGGAGAGGAGAGAGGCCCCGCGGGCAGGCTGCCTGACCCCAGCTCTGGCCTGGGCCTGCAGCCCCCACCACTGGCTGCCGGCCAGGAGCAGGGCTGGGGCGCAGCAGAAACCAGCCGCCCCTGGAAAGAGGTCCAGACACCGACTGGGGGTCTGTTTTTATTACTAACAGGCCGGGCATTGTTCCTTGAACAAAAGTTCTGTGTAAGCTTTTGTTTCTTTGATTTCTCTTTTATCTGACAGTATTTTTTTTCACTGAAAGGAACAGTTTATTTTCTGTTCCCCAAAGCCTATTCATCGGCGGTGTGGGTGTGAATGGGAATGTTATTTATTGCAGACACTTATGCACAGAGTTATGCTTATTTCCACTGAGCGTACAGAGAGAACCTCCCACATCCGGAAACCAAAAGGTGGGTTTCAGGGGTTCTGAAGTTGAGGCCGCCCTAGAGCTTCTATTTTGTAGCCCAAATTGGTCTCTTGTGACACATCTTCCTACGAGCAAACTTGTTTGTTTTGTATTAATTCACCCAATATAGTTATATTTTTCCAGAAGTGATGGGAGAATTTAGAACCACTTAGGTTGACACTTACCCTTGGAGAAACTTTCAGAATCTTCCCCCCGTAGAGCCAACCGTTACAGTTAATAGGACTTCCGTGTCTATTGAAATTTTGCTGAAACAGCCTCACAGATTCAGCTGGCTGATTTGTGCATGCGTATTTTGGGAGCAGTCCTTCAAGTAGCGATAACTTACTTAATTCCTAAAGAGGCAGAGGCGGTTGGATAACCCGTGTTCTCAGCCCGGGCTGTTGGCCGTGTTGGGAGGTGACTTCTGTGGCTCAGTGGGGGGTGGGGACTGAAGAGGGGGGTGCCTGGGGTTGCTGGGAAAGGCACAAGGATCCCCCAGAACAAAGAGTTCTCTGGCTGCACATATCAACAGTGCTGGGACCACGCACTCACACCCTGACATAAATCTGCCCCATATGCTGACGGGGGGTTGGGGGGGATCAGTAGAAGGTGGGGTTGGGGCGCTCACGAGGCAGGATCTGCTATTAAAAGCCGAGTCTATTTGGAGCAAGGACTGCACCAGGGGCACGCCTGGGAGGGCGAGGGAAGCCCACTCAGTGCAGATGTGCGCCCCGCCCGCCGCCGGCCCACGGCTATTTATAGCCCTTTATTTTAAGAAAAAGGACATGCAATAGTCTGAAAATTATGAACTTTCAGAACCACCTGTTAGCAGCCCCTGCTTCCGTTGGCTTCACCTGGCCAACGTATAATTTCGCGGCACCGCGAGCCAAGGGCCTTCCGCCGCCAGCATCTCCTTCCTGAGCGGCATCCCGTCCTCCCCGGCTCTCCACCCCCAGGGGAGGATGTCTTGGGTGCCTGCGTTGTTTTCTCGCTGACTCCCCTGTGCTTCTTAGGCAGAGCTGTCGGGGTGGGTGGCGGTGGTCAAGGACGGTCAGGGCCACGTGGCAGCTGTCCTGCTTCAGATGACAGCAGGTCTGAGGGGGCTGGCGCCTGGCACTTTGCAAAACGACGTGCAAGATGAGAATTTGCTCTCGGTGGACGTGAGCTGGGTCTGGAGCCCGGCGGGGGGCCACCACCTGGCTCCTCCTGGGATCTTCTGGATCTTCTTTCTCTACAGTCCCTTCTCCACTCACCGCTTCTCGTCGAGAAGCCACAGGGAACGATGTTTCCCCGCCCCGGATCGCTCCTGACCTGGCCCTTCCGTGCTTATCGGATTCTACCGAATCTTCTGTGCCTCCGCCCACTCAGGGGCAGCGGGTCTCCCCCACTCTGGCCCCATCATCATCCCCCTCTCGGTTGTTGTCACCTGGAGTCCGTCTCCGGTTCTGCTGAAACTGCCCCCTCTCCGGGTGACCTGGCTCTGACCACCAAAGCCAGTGCCACATCTCTGCCTGTTGGGGTGCCAGTGGCCAAGCTTGTTTTCAGAGGTGTCCTTTCCAAGCTTGGGTGGGCCTAATGCACCCCCTGTGGCTGTTAGGGGATGCACCCTCTGATCCCTCTCTCATCTCCATGTGGTCACTTGTCCAACAATCACGTCTACAGAGACATTTTTGCTTAGCTGTGCTTCCTCCTGGCGACCCTTAACTCTTTTTCTTTTTTTTTTAAAGATTTATTTATTTGTGCATACAGAACTGGGGTACAGGCCAGAGGCTCAGGGGGCGGCGAGAGGATTCACCAGAGACAGAGCGGGGAGCAGAACAGGCAGATTGACTAAGTCCACTGCTGAGGGGAGCAGCGGGCGGGTCAGGAGAGGTCTGCCGCGCCATGTGGTCACCTCCGGGGTAGGCGGGGACCGAACTCATGCGGAAGCGGCTTTAGCTTCTTAGTGCTGTGCTCTAACCCGCTGCGCCCCCAGGGAGGGCCCGTGACCCTTAACTCTTAATGCGGATGTTAATCCTTCCACGGAGCCTATGCTGCCTCTGAATCCCGTGAGCACTGGTGCTGGGCCCTCACGCAGGCGCCTGGGCAGAGGCAGCTGCAGCCTGGACTGTGGGAGACATCCCCAGGCAGACCTCCGTGACGCCTCTCTGACACGGCTGTGCCGAGGTGTCCCGCGTCTGACCTGGGGTCTTGGCACCCCAGAATGTGCTCCAAGAGAGGACGCAGGTCGGGCGTGGACACCAGCACCCATCACTGCTGCTGTTTCTGGCTGCGCCACGCCGTCAACAGCAGCGCAGCTAGAGAGAGGGGCGGACGGCTGCCTTGGACAGGGAGGCCTGTCGCCGACCGCACTTCCCTCGCGGGGATGTTGACTGGCTGCAGCTGTGTGCCCACTGCACGGCCTGACACCACTCGGAACAGCCCTGTCGCCTCAGACGCGCCTCTCCGCCTCTGTGCCCCCTGCCACCGGCCTCTCAGCGCCCCTGTGCCCAGAACAGTCTTGAATGCCTTCGGATACGGTAGAGGAGCCGGGCCTCCGTGTGCTTGTCTTCTGGGCCCTAACCCACTGCGCCCTCGGAGGCTCTGTGCCGGGGTCGGGCTCAGGGCGGTGCGCGGCTCCCAGGCGCGGGCCCTGCCCCTTCCTCTCTCCCCGCCCCTGTGTCTCTCCGTACTCTTGGCTGAATGCTCTTCCAGAAACCTCCATCTGCCGAGCCCTCTTTGTCCTCCAGGACTGAACTCAAATAGAACTCCGCCATGGCCCCATCCTGTTCCCTGAAATAGCAGCCATCCTCTCCGGGCCCCAAACCTCTCTGCTGCTTTTTACGGTTTTCTAACAGCTTGGGTGATAGTTATTTTTACTAGCCTATCTTATTTAAAGTTTATGGACTTTTTAAATTATTCATAATCTCGACAATCTCACAGCACAGTAATTTCATTCCACCTAGTAGGTGCTCAGTGTGGTTTTGTCTGATTCCCACTGAGTATCTCCAGCCAGAAATCTTGCAGGCCCGTCACCTGTGCATTGCGAAGGATACGTCCACGGAACACGGGCGACTTCTAGGCGCTGAGCGGCATCGTATCGTTTGGATTATTAGTGAAGGGCAGTGACCACGTCCTTAAGTAGCGTGTTCTAGATTCTAAGGCAAGAACGGGACGCCCCAGGTCCTGGATAAGATCTGGGTCTGATGACGGACAGGCAGGCGGGTGGAGGGAAAACCGATCTGCTGTTGTCACGTTCACTCCTCACTCTCTAGGTGTGACTTGCTAGAGACTGAGCTGGACGGTTCTCTCATCCGTAGGTTATCTCACAAAGCTATCGGACAAAAGAGGTCTCTGCTGGGGTGAAAACACGCACGCGCCTGCGGCACTCCCGAGGAAAGGTGTGTTTGCCCGGGCTGGTTGCTTTGTGCTCACGCTAACGCCAGCTGAGCTCCTGTTCACACGATCGTTCTCTTTGGTGTGTTCCAGGCCTCTGCCCCACATGACCGGAAGACGAGCTTCTGCTTAGAGGACACGTGGCCGTCCGCCCCGGCCTCCGCCCGCCGCCATGAAGGGGCCCTGCCTCCTGGCGTGGCTGTTCTCCAGCCTGGGCTGCTGGGGCCTCGCCCGGCCCGCCCCCGACGCAGCTCAGTGCCAGCGCGCCGAGCACCCGGTCGTCTCCTACGAAGGTGAGGGGCGGGGGCTGGGTGGCGGAGACCCTCCCTGCGCACCCGTGTCCCAGGAGAGGGCACGGCCTGCTTGTGTTTTGGTGCTCTGGCTCCTCGTTTTAGGCCCTCTTTAAAATACAAGCAAGAATGCAAACTCCTCCAGCTCAAGAATTTCCTATCCAGAAACCGATCACTCTGTCTAGAAGAATCCAAGACCCGAGTTCCCAGGAAGGGAAAACCCCAGCGTTCCTCGCTGGTGCGGCAGTCCCTGTGGCTGGCGGAGGAGGGCGTGAGAGTGTGCCCACAGAAATAGCAAAGCCAGCTGTATAAAGCCGAAAAGTCCCCCTTGGCATTTCCAAACAAAGCCTTGGTCTTCACGGAGAACTTAGCCTTCGTCTGCCCTTGCGTGGCAGACAGAGGTGGTCGAGTGTCTCAGGGGTGCCTGGCTCTGGGGCCGACCCGCTAGAACGCCTGTCCGCTCACGAGTCATCCATTCGTCAAGCTAGTGGGGTTCTCCCCCCAGACCCCGCAAGCACTCAGGTGACAAACTGCTGCCTGTCTCCGAGGAAATAGTTTTATCTCCAAGCTAAGTGAAGTCATTCAGGCCTTGTGTTTTAATAATTCTTTCACAGAAACTTTTATGCTTTGTTGTTTTCCAACTTTGTATCATGCACATCTTTATAGACAGAAGTAAATGGCCTCAGGGACACTCACTTTACTAATTCATAACTCACCTTTTCCCACAAACCCCCACCTGTGCTCCACCATCTTGCCAACATATTATTTGGAAGAAAATTCAGAAAAACATAATTTTACCTGCTGTATTTCTGTTCCTGACTGCTGTCACAGATATGGGGCTCACGAGACCATGCTCACGCCAAGCAAATAAACTGAAAGCAGCCCCCTGCAATCCACTTTCCCGCCCACAAGGGGACCCTGGTGGCCTCCCAGGCTTGAGGCTGATCCTGTCACAGCCACCGTGAGGCGCGCTGTGAGTGGCTGGTTTCTCTCTCACACTTGCTCATCTTCTATGCTGTGATGTTGTTGGTCTTGCAAATGGACTTTTAAAGGCGCTTTGGCTTCCTGCGGTGGTTTCCAGTTGTCTGGATTTTGAGAGGATCCTGTTTGCGCCTTTCAGATGTCCTGTCCTGAGCTTCTCTGGTGATTCCTAGCACTGTAGTGGTGCTGAGGTCCTGGCTAAAGGTCTCTGCTGTGTCACAGAGGGGCTGGGCTTTGGGTTCAGGGATAGGCAGGCCCTGCTGACCGCTGCCACGGTGGCCATTCACCGTGGTGTGCGGCCGGGCTTCTCGCTTCCTTGAGTAGCTAGAATCTTTACTCATAAAGGACCTCTTCTTCATCTATTATTTGAAAATCCTGAATATAGGAAAGATAATTTTGTTTCCTTCCCTACCACCTCCTGGTTTTTATTTTTGTTAGAAACTTGATTATTGGTTCTCGAATACTCTCCAAAAGCCACACATAAGATGCTATGATAGATTTTTGTTTGTTTTGCTCATCTTGGTTACTAGACTCACTGTTGGTGCCCGGATGCAAATACTTGATAAATTTCACCCAGTTGCTGCGTGCAGGAGTGTGGCTGTCGCATTTCCGGCCGGTGGGAGCCCGACGCTGCCAGGTGGTGTCGACTCCCTGGGGTGGCAAGAGGCCCCGATCCTCTCGGCTGTTTGGAACTGTAGACTTCGCGAGTTACACAGCTTGAGCAGAGCTGAGCTGTGGTTTCCCCAGCTAGATGTCCCACGTGGAGCTAAGGGAAGCATTATTAAATCTGCTCCGAGTTCCTCCAGACGCTCCGGGGTCTTTCTCAGCCTCCTCTGAGTTCTCGTGCCGTAAGAACCCTCAGGACACGATAATCCCTTTGTCCTTTCCTGAAATACGCCCGCAGTCATTGCAGAGCAGTTTCACGCAACGCCAGTTATTCTGGACTATCGCAAAGCCCTGGAGATGATCTTCCTCTTCTCTTAGCCCTTCGAACACGCACTTAACTGGGGAATTCAACGACATGACTGCTTTGAAGCCTCTTTTTAGATGATTATGCCAGCAGCGCAAAAATCCAGTGGATTTTTTTGCTTCATTTTGCCTGTGAGTTTTAAAGATTTTAAAATTTGCACTACACTATTGTACAGTGTTTCAAAGTCAAATTAATAAAAAAGGAGGGGTGTGCGGAGAGATGACTTCGGTGCCTTGTTGTCTTCTCCCTCTTCCCCTGTCCGCATTGAGCTGACCTTTGACTTAAATTAGCGGCGCGTGCTCCTCTCCGTCACAGACGCCTCGTGCAGCGCTGGGTAGCCGTCTGCTTTCTTAGACAGAAGCTGTCAGACGTGCAGCCTTGGCCCTGCCGAGCGCGTTCTGAGACGGCGACGCTCTCTGGAGGCTTCTCCCTAGTTTACGGGCACGTGGCTGTCCTATGATGGGCCCAAGCGCCTCGGGCTTTAGCGGGGTCACTTGTGCCACCCGCCGTCGCGGACAGCGTTACGAAGCAGCACTTCAGTAGAGGTGCGAGGCTGCCGTGGCGCGCGGAGAGGCCTCGCTGGGTTGGCCGGGTCAGGGGAGCAGCGCGTCTGTGGGGCCCCTTGCTTTCCTGGGGTCGAGGCTTTGCGTCCCCTCGGCCTGAGCAGGCACCCGTGTGCGGCCTCTGCAGCGGCGCCGGTGGGCCGGGGGGCTGAGCCCACCGCAGCAGGCCCCAGCGCAGCTCAGCGCAGTTTCCGCATGCATATCTTACATTCGGAATGGACACTCAGTGGGCACCGAGTGGGTGCCCGTGGCCATGAGGGCTTGTGCCAGCATGGAGGGGCCCGACAGGAAAGGCCGTCCCCGCTCAGGGCTGTCAGTTGTTTTAGGGTCATAGACCAGCATTCTCTGGGGGTCTTACCAGGCGCCGCTGGGAGCACTGCCAGCAGCCTGGCTGAGCACAGGGTTGAGGAAGGCGAGGCAGTGCCCGAGCTGCGGCCCTGGTGTCCGGGGAGCGTGAAAGGAGAGTTTAAGCCCTGAGGGGAGCGAGGCGACCCAGCCGGCTAGTGTCCCCTAAGTGCGTCATGAGACGCTCGTGTCCCCGTGGAGGGGCGGTGTGGGTAGAGGAGACCAGGTGCTGAATGAGGGCGCTGTGAAGGGTGTCCTGGGAGGTTCCCACCTACCGGGATGGGCTCAGCTTGGGGGGCGGCAAGGTGGCGCCCCCACCCCGCCTCAGGCTGCTGCTGGTGTTACAGGCGCGGTGGAGAGGGACGCATGAGAGATGGTGCAGGCACGTGAAGAACTGGGCGCACGCTGGACACTGGGGGGCGGGGCGTAGGCGAGGCCCAGGGTGTCGGGCGACACCGCACTGACCGTGGTTCCGCTTCTCGGCTGTGAGGGAAGACGGGTGGCAGGCGTGAGGGCCAGCCGAGTGAGACGGGCCAGCGCGTGTAGACGGACGGGCCAGCGAGTGAGCGGGCCAGCGAGTGTAGACGGACGGGCCAGCGAGTGTAGACGGACGGGCCAGCGAGTGTAGACGGGCCAGCGAGTGAGCGGGCCAGCGAGTGTAGACGGGCTGCCGCGTGTAGACGGGCAGGCCAGCGAGTGTAGATGGGCTAGCCGAGTGTAGACGGGCCAGCGAGTGTAGACAGGCCAGCGAGTGTAGACGGGCCAGCGAGTATAGACGGACAGGCCAGCAAGTGTAGATGGGCCAGCGAGTGTAGACTGATGGGCCAGCGAGTATAGACGGACAGGCCAGCAAGTGTAGATGGGCCACCGAGTGTAGATGGGCGAGTGAGTGTAGACAGGCCAGCGAGTGTAGGCGGGCCAGCGAGTGTAGACGGGACAGCCGAGTGTAGACAGGTCAGCGAGTGTAGACGGGCCGCCGAGTGTAGACGGGCGAGTGAGTGTAGACGGGCCAGCAAGTGTAGATGGGCCAGCAAGTGTAGATGGGCCAGCGAGTGTAGACGGGCCAGCGAGTGTAGACGGATGGGCCAGCAAGTGTAGATGGGCTAGCCGAGTGTAGACAGGCCAGCGAGTGTAGACGGGACAGCCGAGTGTAGACGGGTCAGCGAGTGTAGACGGGCCAGCGAGTGTAGACGGGACAGCCGAGTGTAGACGGGCCAGCGAGTGTAGACGGGACAGCCGAGTGTAGACGGGCCAGCGAGTGTAGACAGGCCTGCTGGGCTGCTCGCCACTATCAGACGGAATCGACCAGTCCCAGTGAGGCCCCGGGAGCCAGCCGAGAGCCTTTCAGCAGGAAGTTGGCCCCAGAGTGTCCCGCTGGCAGAGTCCGAGGCAGGCTGGGCGGAAGCCGCCATGACACGCTCATCCCGTTTCCCTGGATGCTCCGTGCTGAGCACCGAGAGCCCCACGTCCGGGAAAGCCTAGAAGCTGGTCACCTCCTGGGAATTCTGTGTGTATCCGGTGCTTCGTGCTGTGATAAATACCCCAACAAGTGTCATGTCATCACGAACTCTGGAAGCTGGATGTTCAGCCTCAAGGTGTGGGCAGGCACGTTCTCCCGGAGGCGCTTGGAAGGCTCCTTCGCTTCTTCTTCGCTTCGGAGGGCCACGGCATCCTCGGCGTCCCTGCCTTGGGCTGCATCCCTCCCCGCCCTCTCTGTCACGTGGGCCTCCGGCATCTGGCCCGCGACACTTTATTTCCTTTCCATGTAAGGAAGACAGTCAAGATGGCGTCAGGAGCCACGTTAGTCCAGTGCGAGGACCCATTTCCAATAAGGCCACATTCACAGGAACCGCCCAGTAGATGGAACTGACCCGACCGCTTCAGGCGGGCTGAGGGAAGGGACTGGCTGTGTGAGTGTGTTGGGGGGGGGGGTGTAAAAATGAGGTGGAGAATCAGGAACAAAAAGAGCTCGTGTCTCGCCAGCAGGGATGAGGACGCAGGATGGCTTCTCAGAGAACGTCCCCATCACCCCTGAGTGTAGATGGGAAGGAGCCAGGGGAAGGAGAAGGAGGAGGAGAGGAGAGAGAGGGGAGAACACGGATGGGGCAGCCTTCGGGGCTGTGGGAGGGAGCGGATGTGAGCAC